TTACAACTATTATAAAAGCTGCAACTTTTAAATAGTTGCAACTATAAGTTGCAACTATAATAAATTTTATAAAGTTGCAACTTATATAATTTAATTGCAGTTACCAACTTTATTCCTGCTTAAAGCTTCAACATCTCAACCTTAGTTACTGCAATATTATAAGTAAGACTATTGAAGAAATTGCTCGCTCATGTCTCAATTTAAAATCTCTAGATTTGGAAGGATATGAAAATATTAGCAAAAAAGTCATAGACTAGCTAAATCCAAATATTCATATTGAAAATTTTGATAAAGATTACTGCTATTCTGATTCAGAATCTTTTAGCTCTGAAACTGAATCAGAGTCTGAATAATCTAGCTAGTCCAGAGCAGTGATCGCATGATTTTATTTTTTCATTTGAAAATACAACATATAATACAGAATATTTATGACACATACAAGCATTTTTATTATACCAGAACTATTAGAACAGATTTTATATTTCTTATTAATAGATAAATTCCTCTATCCTGTTCTATTTATTGGTTGACTATGATACAGATGCAGTGCTCCTATTCTATGGAAACGTATTAAGCTAAAGGAAAATGATACACATCGCTCTCGATTGAAAAAATTTATGAAAATAGTGTGTAGAAAATAAAAGTTAGTTTATAGCTCAAATCTAACCCATCTGGAAATTTCACACTTTCGGATAAAAAATTCAATGGCATTGTATGCTTATTCCCAAATATAATTTATTTAGATTTCAATTATACCATAGGATTTAGCAACAAAATACTAAAACGAATAGCAGAATCATACCCCAATCTGAAGTATCTTAATTTACAAAAGGACAAATATATATATTCTACCCATCACTATCCGAAAGAGTATATCTAAATAAATAAAATTTATAATACCTTATATACTAAATAAACAAATATTATTTATACAAAAAAAAATAATAAAATTAGTATACATTGTTTACTGAAGTTAAAAATTGAGTCTCATTTTGCATTACAGAATCCACTTGTTTAATAATATCTCTTATATCTAATTCAAATGTACCATCATCTAGATTTTGACGCTCTGCATACTTAAACAAATAGTATCATTGCCAAACTTGATCAAAGGAAAGGAATGATAACGTTTGTGATGTAAGTTCTTTCACTTAGTTCACTGCGAGTTGTACTTGGTTATGCCACCAATAAAAGTGCATTAGAAGAAAATATTTACACCAATTATTAGGTATAAGGAAAATTGCTTCAGTTTTCCAAGATACGTTTGGTTATTTTTATCAACGTGCACTCATTACCTTTCCGGCTTTTATTATTCGAATTATTAAAATTGCTCGTAAATTCGTTATAACCGAATCGGTATAGTACATTTCATATTTTCCCTGGGTTCCAAAAAAGTACTCTCGTCTACGTCCTAAATTTCTTACCATGAATGAGTCAACGCTAATAACCATGCTAGTTTCGGGATCCCGCCAAGTAAGATTTGATTCTCAAATGTATGCCTGAGCGAACCATAAAGATTCGCATCTGTCTCTGATGCACGATGCTAAAAATACAACACGATTAGCTTTCAGACTGAGAAAAATTATACTCTCTCCATGTTCAATGCCTTGAACCTTGAACGTTAATGTATCCAATCTCAGTCTAGTAAAATGCAATAATATGTACCGTTACATTTTGTTAATCTCAAACTTATTTATACCATATGCCATTTCACGCATTCGCATTTTCAGAAATATTAAGGTATCATTGTTTTGACTAGAAGACATAGTTCTTCTGGGATGGCATTCCCCAACCTTTAGCTATTTTCGTTTTAATATCCAACAGAGTCGAATTTACTGCACGGCTATCACTTTTCTTACATAGTCAAAAGAAGGTAAAATGTTTTTTTCTATTGTCACAAATGAGAGTCTAAGGTTCTTCCAATAAAAGCGTTTTTATCTTTGCTAAATTCGTTATGGTAAAAAATTTTGCTTAATGAAAACGTATTGGTGCAAGATACAACTTGAAATTTCGTATACTGTCCTTTTAAAAGTAAATTTTCAGATTGGGGATATGGGTAGGTAACAAAATAGCACCATTCTATTTTAGTAACTTAAATAATTTATTTTTTTGGCCACGTGATTTTTTAGTTGGGTCATACGCGAACCGTTTCCTAATTTAGCTTAGCAAAACGTTGTCAATTGATTAAGCCACCGACAATTAGAATATTATAATTCCAGACTCTTTTTTTAACAAAATGATATGGAAGCTAGCCAAAGCTAAACTAACCACTCTTTTTCCTGAGGAAGAGGAGCGCGGCATAATAAAGGGCATTCTTTTGAATAAGCCGTTGGATGAACGCTTAGAGTATTTCGAGGGAGGAGATAAGGAGATTGCTGCTGCACTTAGAACGCTCTTGTCAAACCAAGGTAACGACTTCGTGACTCAGTCGTTGGGGACATGAGGTAGTGAGTATATAGAGTAGAATAGGATAGTAAGATGATTTTATTATGAATTGTTGGGAGAATGTTATTATTAAGGATAGCCAGTCTGAGGGATTGCGACAATGGGAACTGTGTTCCTTTTTCTTTTTATTTCATTTTGAAAACTTTTCAATAATTATGATTTACATTTTAATTGATCTTCATTCTATTTACAACTTATATTTCTCTTTGGTTATTTGTCTACTTTGTTCTGAATTAACTCTTGAATTACCTAGTTTATCCTTTTTCCATTAAAGAATCAGGTAAGAATAATTGTATTAGTCAAAAAATAGCTGTAATACTTGTCACAACATTAAATATTTTGTTTTACTTTCATATATTTCTGCTTTTATTTCGTTTGGGATAATCTAAAGTTGTTTCAGGTGAGCCTTTTATTGGAAACTAAGTCAAATTATCCATTGATCAAAAATTAATCAGCATTATATCTTCCTATTTTGTATTTAGACCCCACGTATCAACTCATGAAACATTGGTTACAAAGCCCAGACGAAATCCCTGAACGTCATCAACTTAAATATTTTCTTAACATGACACCAAATGTGAAACTTCCTCTTTCCAAGGAAATGTTCTCTGCAATTCCAATCGTTGGACCATTTAATATAGACCCAACAGAACGTGATAAGTATTTTGTAGAAAGAAAATCAGTAAGCTGTACTTTATTTTTTACTCAATTAATAACAAGTTTAATGCATCCCCCTGTAACAGGAAGAACAAAAGATTCATTTCACAGCTTTTGGGACGCTATTATCAGCAAGTCACTACAAATATTTGGAAGTTATTCTAATGAATTGCCACTAATGAATATTGATCGTAATACCTCCAGAAGCACTACGACAGGTAGACTGATTTAAATGATTGACCGAAAGGTGGAATTATATCATATACTAACGAAAAGTTTTATAGGTCAAAATAGACCAGATTTTATCTTATTAATGAGAAACATTTGTGTTGTTCGTGGAGAAGAGAAGGGAGAAAATGGAAAAGGAGAACCTGCTAGGGAATTAATTGATAAATTCAATACTTGGGATTATGGAGACATTCCATATCTTTTTGGATACTATGCAAATACTGCTGCTGTTACCTTTTGTGTTCTTTATAATAATGAACAAGAAAATAATAGCAGTCGAAAAAGAAAACACCCAAACATTTGTAGCGAGAGACTTGCAGAATTTGATTTAACCAAATTAACACATAGATTCAAGTTAATGAATTTAATTAGAAATATATTGTAAGTTCTTTCTTATTTTGATTTTCAAATTTTATTAGAAATGCTAATTTACTTTATATAACTTAGGTCGCATACTACCTATGATAATTAACATGTGTCCTTCAAAAGAAATGCCAGATTTTGAAATTATAGTGCGTGATAACGGAACTAATATTGAAATTGGCTATGGTATCAAAAAAATATTCCCTTCAGAAGATAACGTTAAACATCTGGAAAATTTTTATGGGATAATGAGTGTAAGTTTTAAAATGTCTTTTCATTTTTCTGTCTTCAAATTACATTCTAACAAACACTTCATATAGAATTACAAGATAAAATGTATTGATAAATTAGTTCGATCTCGTAATAATGTTGTTCACTTGAAGCCAAGGGGAAAGGAGCAAAAACCAAAAAATCTTAATGAATTACTGAGAGCTTTGATCTGTATATTAACTTGTTTAGAGGTACATTTTTAGTGATATATAAATATATATATCGTTATTCATTATTAACTAATATGAAGATGTGTATTTAATTAGGGCTTGCATAATATAAAACCTAACCCAGTTATGCATAGAGATATACGATGGCCAAATATTATACAATATGATAATCAATATATTTTGATTGACTTTGATTTTGCCAGCTTTTCTCCTTCAAATGAGAATTTACAAAACTTAAATTCAGCTAATCATGCTCCTGAAATGTTAATAGGTGAACATGATGTAACAGTTGATATTTGGGGTGTTGGAAACTTGATTATTTCAAGTGGTATTAATGAATTACCTAAAGAACTTTTATCACTTTTTCATTCAATGTGTCAAAAAAATAAAAATATACGGCCAAATGCATCTGATACACTTAAAATTATTAAAGGTTTTTTTGTAAAGGTAACTGATTTTTATTATTAATTAATTAATATCATTATTTATTTTATTTAGAATATAATTTAATAAAGTTTTATTTTACAGTGGTTTTCTAATGATGATTGGTTAAATCATTTTGAGAATAAATAAGAAATTAATACAAATTTAATTTTTTTACTTATTAAGATAATAAAAATATGTTTAATTTTTTTTTCTTATTTATAAAATAAAAAATTATTTCTGCAAATAATGAATAATATTCAATAAATTCAAATAAAATTATAATGTAAATAAAAATTATATTTATATAAATTTTTAGTAAATATTTTAATATTAAAAAAAAAAAAAATTTGTTTTTAATGATTATCTATTATATTAAAATTATTATCTTTAATTTAAAAAATAAAATTTTAGAAAGTAGATTTTATAATTTTATAATTTATTATTAAAAAGATATATAGTCATCCTTTTTATAATCACCTTCTGTATAATCACATTATATAAATCTCTTATTATAAATATATATTTCATAAGAATTAATTAGGAATACTAATGGTTATAATCATAACCAGTCATAATTGTGACTGATATCAGTTGGTCAAAAGCTTCTGACTGACTGGTTGACTGACTAATTCTAACTGATTTTGACTGACTGACTTAAGACTGAATAATCATGTTTTATATATAAAAACTCTCTGTATTAAATTAATAAAATTAAATATTTTATTTTAATTATTTAAAATTTAAAATTTTGAAATTTTGAAAAAAATTAAAATCTGCAATAATGCTATGTCACTAAATAAAAATACAAAGTAATTTTAAAAAATACCATGCTAGAATTGCTAAAGCAAGAATCAAAATTATTATTATTTAGTTAAATTAAAAACTTTCTATTAAACTAAAAATTGTTTAATTATATTATTATTAACTAGTTGATCAATCAGTTAGTTAAAATCAATCAGTTAACTGGTCAGTTAGTTAAAGGATTTTAACTGATTATTGATTGATCACAATTAACTGTTACTATTCCTAAAACTAAAATCTATTAATGTTATATAAAAAAATCTCTTCATAATCACAATGTTTTTATAGTCATACTCTTTTAAAACTAATACATAGTAACAATATATAAAAATCTTTTATATACTTTATATTATAATCACACTTTTTATTTTTGATTCTAAAGAATATAATTATAAAAAAAGATGATTATATAAAGAAAAAATATATTTTAACCTATTATAATATTTTTTTATAACATCCTTTTTTATTTTCTTAATAATAAATTATTTTAAATATTTTATAAACAAGATTTTTAAATATATTTTTACTTAATATACTAAAGACAGTTTTATAAATAAAATTTTCAGTTATAAACAGTTTCTTGAAATTTTTAAAAAAATTCTTATTTTTCTTATACAACTAATCTTTTATTTTGATTTGCTAAATTATTAATATTATACCTGATGTTAAATTTTGATTAGATAAAATTGAGATATTATAAATAAAATGCGTAATATAATGTTATAATTAGATTTATCTTTATATAAAATAATAAAGTTTATTATATTTTATTTTTCTTTTAAAAATTTTACTTTTTATTAGATTTAAAAGAAATTTATTTAATTATAAAAAAATTATATTTATTAAATAAGTCAATTAAATTATAACATTTTTTACTTGATTTAATATATAAATACTTTATAATAGAAAAGAAAAAAATTACCAAAATAAATTTTTTTTAAAATTTTCTTCCTATTTACTGTTAAATACTTATATTATAACTGATATAAGTTACATAAATCAGTAAAATATATTACAATATTAATAATTAAATAAAATGCTTAATTTTATAAATTAAAAATTATTTAATTAACAATAAAAATAAAAAATTAAAATTTTATAAATAATTTTTTTATATATTTTAATAAATCCTTTATTATTATATTATTATTTTTATTAATCAAATCATTTTTGATTTTAAATTTACTATTTTTTTAAATAAAATCTTTTAAATTTAATTTTATTATCAAAAATTTATTATCTAAATATTAATAATTTTTTATATATATTAACAATTAAATTAGCATAATTATATTAGTATATTAGAATATTTTTATCAAATAAATTATTAACAAAATTATAATATTTATAATCATATAAAATAATTATATTTTAGATTTCTAAAGTGACATAATTTGATAAAAATAAGTTATAGGTTTAATATTATTATTAGACGAAAATTTAATAAAAAAAACTGATAAGGTATATTATATATTTTATAAATATATCTAAAATAATATTACATATTTTTTAAAAAAATTATTTATAATTGTTTAGTATAAATATTTTATAAATTTATAAAATGCTATTAAAAATCTTTATTCTATCAATATTAAAAACAAAATATATTCTTTTGTAATTATTTAGATATAAAATTTAATAAAAAATTATTTCTTATAAAATTTTTTAAAATACTAAATAATATAAAATAATCCTAAGAAATCTATTTTGAAAATACTAAAAAATATTATTAACTTTTTCTAAAAAATAAGTAATTGAAGAAAAAAGTTTAACTTATAAAAGAAGTTGTCTAAAAAATTATATTAATTAAATAAACTATTACTTCTTTTAATTCTTCTAAAAAAAATTATTAATAATATAGAAGTTGATTCAATTTTTACCTCTTTTTTGACAGATAAGATAAAAGTTTTAAAATAATTATTACTATTATTAAATAATCACTTAACTAAAATTAGTTCTTTAATATTTTAAAAAATATATAAATAAAAAAAAAATTTATTTTTAATATAAAATAAAAGTTTTAATATTCTTTACTTTTTATGTTACAGATAATTTTCTTTATAATAAATTTAATAAAGAAAAACAAATATTGTCTATTATATTTTAATAGTCTAAATTTAAAATTCTTTTACAAATATTATAAAAAAAATTATCAAAATTAGTTTTATAATACAATTAAAATATAAAATATATAATATAAAAGTAATTACTATTTAATACTATATATATCGTATAGTTCTGAAAATAAGCACTACCCAAAAATAAGCACTTCCATTTTTTAATATTACCTGAAAATAAGCATTCCTCGAAAAAAAATGTAAAAATAAAAAAAAAATTTATTATTCCATTATTGTAATATAAAATTTATTTGAAAATAAAG